TTTTAAAGCGCCCGATAAACAAATAGTTTGACGTGACCCAAGAAAAGCAAAAACATTATCGTTATCAGGAGGCCAAGCACACTTTTCAAACTTCGTGGATTTTTTTTAAGCGTACATTTATTTACAGTGTTATGCACTGGAATTTTGACATTTTGTTGAAAATTTGTTAATTTTTATATATTTTTTGTTGAAGGCTTGAAACGTGGAATTATATGGCGTTTGTTATAGGTAGAATGGGTTGGTCTTTTATAAAAAAAATAATAAACATAAACTAAACAAAAGTTAAACTTCTCGAAATGTAGCGCTGCTATTATTTTGCCGCAGGTGTATATACATATGTACACACATATGTATTTCCTCTAGTGTTCATGTAAAAAATAATAGAACAAACTGTGTGAACTGCCTTTATTTCGGTATTTCTTTATTGTCAGCCACATCTGCCAGCTCTGCACAGCTGGGAGTGTTGAGTTTTGATGAGATCCCATAGTTATCGCAACAGTTGTAAAAGCGATGACACCATCGCGCACATGAAAAATATCCATTTAATTACTGTGAAATCGATGTAGAAAGTAGTGCGAATGTGGTGACAAGCATAAATCATTCCGAAAGCACAATATTGATATACAAATGCATTTTCTCAAAAAGTGCATGCAAACATACATACATACATATGTAACTATATTGCGTTCATGAGTATTAATGCGGTAAGTAGTACTACCAGTAGTGGACATTTATTTCATCATTTTCAGTTTCTATACATATAAAATTAGTAGGAAAATAATAATTACACAAAATAAAATAAACAATGAGTTATAAAAATAACATTATATGTTGTGTGTCACTAGTAGAAACTCATTATAGGAAGGAAGTGAGTTAATTTGGTCCTACAATGTTTAGCATATTTACACATATTTTGCATGTTTGCATATTTTTTGCATATTTGAAATTTTTTATATATATTTTGCATATTTTTGTATAGGTGTATTTTGCATATTTCCAATAAATAAAGTTTTATAAGCACGCCAGCCTGATAGCAGCCCTTGTTAACTCTTCTGCATGAATCGCGATGACCCGTTGCGCCAGCATAGAACGTATTGGATTCCAGTAACGATTGTACTCCATGCCGTAGAGCAGAATTGCGCATGGTATCGAAGGTGGCATTGTCAAAAGCACCCTCAATGTCTACAAATATGCCCAAGGGGACTTCTATCATTGCTAATAAGAAAACCAGATTTTGCAAAGCCGTCTCACAAGATTTCCCCGCCTGGTAGGCATGTTGATGCAAATACAGAGGTTGTGATGAGATCGCCTCCCTGCGAATGCGCAATTCTACCAACCTTTCCAGTTTTAGCATGAAGGAAGTCAGGCTTGTAGCTTCTGTTTCGGCATCCTTACCAATCTTAGGTAAGTAAAAAGGCAACATCAACCAGATTCCAAGGTGGAAGTATGTAGGCAAGTGCAATCGATGCTGTGAAAATCTTTTTCAAGGTCGCCAACTAAAGCTTAAACTTAAGTACCATAGGTAAGATGCCATTTGGACCGGGTGATTTGAGACTGTCAAATGACTCAACAGCATATCTTAGGACAGTTCTAGCAACAAACTAGTTGTACCTTGACACTGTGGTTCTCGCATACCCTCCCTCATCAGTCGGGGGAAAGGAAGGCGTAACCATCAACTGATTTCCAGGCAATTGAGTTGCTAGAAAAACAGAGTGTTTCAATCCTAGTCTACCTTAAAGACCCATCAGGCCTCTTGAGTGAACGCAGCTTTATGGTTTGGTCCTTCTTCAGAACTTTTACCACCCTTGCCGTTTGACGCAAGGTTTAATCCCGCTGCAGTACTCTTAAAAAAGAGACCGTCTTCGCAGAGCGAATTATAGTACGTTCCCACGGTACGTATTTCGCTCTCCCATTCGTAACTAGCTTTCTCATTCGTATTTGGCTCTGTAGACAGTGAAGCCTTTTCCCCCTGTGCGCGGTATTCTTTGCTCCACAGCCTTAAGCCAATCCCAGTTAGCTTTTGGGTGAGGTATTTTACCATAAAGGCTTCATCCCTCGCTTATGAACGAGCATTAGCTACAGTGACGGAGGCAATGACGGTCCGGATCAGATGGATCTTACAGTGTTTAATTTCCGCGGTATTCATCTGCCAAGTCTAATCCGCCCTAACCATTATGACAATGAGTGGATGGCCTTTCACGTGCTCACAATAAGTTGGCCGGGCGCCCTAGACCTCCATACGTAGTTGGAAGGCTTTGATGCTTCGAGGGCATAGCGATGGCAGTTTTACCTCGACTGACCCTTGCCAATGTTTGTTGCTGGGAGTACCACAAGGCTTGCGTGCCCACTATGTCAACTAAGTGCCGCTTTGCAGATTTTACTGCTGCTTCCCACAACCCCCCTTGGTGGGAGGCGCTCGTCGTGATGAAGTGCCATCGGGTCCCCAAGTCAGCGAGGGACTGGATATTTTGATCGTGGTTCCAGGCAGCCAAATCCTCCTTCAGAACGCGGTTAGCTCCTACGAACGCAGTACCGTTGACGCTGTACAAGTCCCTGCAGGCACCTCGCCGGCTAATAAACCGGGTGAGCACGTATAAAAAAGCCTGCGTAGAGAGATCATCTGACACCTCAATGTGGACAGCTTTCGCCGTCATACAAATAAAAATAGCTAATTATGTTTTTACCGTAGTCCGTGATCTTTTGGATCCAATACGCAAGTTGAACGGACCGCAGTAATCAACTCCGGACGCGATGAAGGGTCGAACCGCATTGACACGATGTCGAGGTAGCGGAGCCATTTGTTGCGTTAAGACAGCACCTCGGTTCCGATGACAAACGATACATTTGAGAATCAGGCTACGCACCGCTACTCTCCCGTGTATAATCCAAAAGCGACAGCGAAGAGTTTGAAGAGTCAGCTGGGTTCCGCCATGAAGAATGTCTATATGTGCCTGTCTAATGAGCAGCTCGACTAGTCCCGTCGACTTCGGAAGAATGATTGGGTGCCTATGGGCACCCGACCTCCAACCCGTAATAATCCATGATAATCCAGATAAGGGTGTAACGGAATTAGACTACTCGAAGTTGCTAACGCTAACCCACCCTGCAGACACCTAATGTCCTTCAGAAAAGCATTCCCTTGATCGATCCTCACAAGCCACTCTAACGGCTCATCGATCTCCTGTGTGTCAATTGTGGGATGCCGAAAGCCACGGCTTCTCGGAAGCCACATCAGTATTAAAGCCATGGTATGCAGAAGTTTCTTCAGCGAGCTGAATCGATCCGTAAGCGGAATAATTTCTCCATCTAAACGTCGCGTTGTCAAAGTTGTGCAAGTGGCTACGACGGTTAAACACTGTACCCTGCTTTCACTATTTATTATAGCTTCGTCGTCATTATTTAGCTTAGGTTCGAAAGGGGGTCCTACCTTATCGTCGCGTAGCCAGCTGGGACCACTCCACCATAAATAGTGCTTTAAAAGTTCTGAAGCCGGTACACCCCGACTGGCGCAGTCGGCTGGATTTTGCGATGAACGTACATAATGCCATTCATCCTTCATACTCAGCTCTTGTATCTGCCGAACTCTGTTGGATACATATGTTTTCAGCGTGTCTGGTTGCTTTCGCAGCCAACAGAGAGTGATAGTCGAGTCAGACCACAAATAGGCAACTTAGTTAACCAATCCTAATGCCTATATGACATTTCGAAGAGTTTCGGATAATAAGAGTGCCGCGCACAGCTCCAAACGAGGAATTGTGGCTCCCTTTAGAGGTGCTACCTTAGTCCTGGCAGTTATTAAAGCCACGTGAACGTTTCCCTGGAGTTTGGGTGTCTTAGCGTACATCACAGCAGCATATGCCCTTTGGCTGGCATCACAAAACCCGTAGAGCATGGTGGCCGACTCCTCTTTCATCCCAAGCCAACGAGGTATCTGCATCATATTGAGAGCATTGAGGTCATTTCGAAATTTAAGCCAAGTTTACCGCAATTCAGTTGTCAGGGGAGTATCCCAATCAATACCTGCGGACCAAAGAATTTGAATAAATATCTTACCGACAACCACCACCGGTGACAAGAATCCCACAACCCTAACGACGTCGTCCCTGTGGATCGACCCCATAGAGGCTGCACGCTTCTTGGGGATGCCGTTAGTGGAACTCGACGACAACGACTGAGATATCAACCGATCTGGGCGGGGTTGTTGTAGCCGCTACAACAACAACAACAACAAGAATCCCGTTGGGTCAAACAGCTTCGCCACCTCGCTGAGCACACTACGCTTGGTGCATATACCGCCGGGCTCCTTAAGTTCCACATTGAGGTCAGGGCTGCATCAATACTGTACTCTTTAGGCGATGAGTCTCTACCAATCTGAGTTAAGACAGAGGGGCTATTTGAATTCCACTTCTGCAGCTTAAAACATCCAGCTGTCAATATGTTATCTATATTGGATGCCAAAGTGATAGCACCTTCGACCGTGCTGCAACTTACAAGAAAATCATCCACGTAGAATGACGAGAGAATGGTGTCCCGCGCTATAATGCCCATATTGCGATTGTGAATCTTATCAAAATTGTCGTACGCACACTGATGCATAGCTCTTACCGCATTATCAGGACTGCACGTCATGCCATACGTGACAGTAGACAGTCGGTAAGTAATTACTTCCTCTGAAGGTGATTCACGCCAAAGTATGCGCTGAAAGTCTCTATCTTGCGGTGCCACGAGTACCTGGCGAAACATTTTCTCCACATCGGCGGTGATAGCGACCGCATAACATCGCAAACGGAGTATAATGTTGATTAACGAATCTTGAATGGGAGAGCCGACGAGCTGCAAATCGTTGAGTGAGAGCCCGTTCGAGGTAGGAGCGGACGCATTAAATACCACGCGGAATTTTCCCATCAGAGCATGGTGCAGAATATAATAGCATCGTGGCTGAACGAATGGCTCAAGAACTCTCTCCATGTGGCCAAGGGTCTCATATTCCCTCATAAATGCTAAACTTTTGCATGCATGTCCGGATCATCGGTCAGACTTCGTTCCAAACGTGATAACTGGCGCCGAGGGCTGACGTACGAGTCGCCTAATGGTTGACAGTCTTGGCGGAGGGGCAACCTCACAATATAGCGTCCCTCTGCCGCACGCCGGTGAGTAGTGGCAAAGAACAGCTCGAATTCATCATTCAAGCACTTGGATGTAACGGGTACTTCTTCAAGCTTCCAAAAATTGCAGATAAGTTCCTCTAAATAAGGTTCGTCTCTAATCTGCGCGCAATAAATTCCAACTGTTGCATTCGCAGTGCTCTGAACTGATGCTGGTCCGAATACAACCCAACCAAGTCGGGTAAGTTGTGCATGAGGTTCGTCACACCCACCGTGTATGACATCTTTCTCAACGATCGAACCCCAGACATCAGCACCAAGAAGTACATCAACATTACCCGGGGTACCGAAATATGGATCTTCCAACTGAAGACTTGCCAAATGTCCCCATTGCCCAATATCGACGCTAACCGCGGGGGTAACTGAAGTAATCGAACCAATGACCAATACGTGATTGTCTAGCTCAAACTGAGAAAATATGCTTTTTATTGTAAAGCGGACGCTACCCTTGGTTCTCGTACACGCAACTCCGCCAATGCCCTCCACCATAATCTCACACTTGCTCCTATAAAGACCCAAACTATTAGCCAAACTTTCGGAAATTAAACTTACTTGAGAACCAGGGTCGCATAATATACGGAATATTCGGTGGCTCGCGCTGTAGCCAGCAAAACGGTTTGACTTCCTTTGCCGACATTGGTAATGGTTGTATTGCTTGCTAGTCATAATGATGGTGGGACTGGATTGGCTATACTGTCTGGCTTAGCCATAGGAGTATCTACCCCGCCAGATGAACTATGTTGCTGTGATTTGTGGCGGCAAAAAACGTATGATGTCTGTGGCCGCACTAGCGGCAGTTGGCGGAGGAGCATAGTTTAGATAGGTGTCCGGATCACAAACAGTTAAAGCACAAATTCGATCGCTTTAAAGCTTCAAAGGCTTCATAGCCATAATGGCCGGGCAACGTATAAACTTGTATGGTCAGTGCTGACATTTGCCATCGCCAGTCGTGGCGAGGTTGGACTTTAGAGAGCGGGGAGTGTTCTTCTACTTTGAGGAAAAATGCGGCACTTCGGGACGATCCGCTACCTGACAAAATTCGCTCGAGAGACTATGTGCTCGTTTCTCTAAAAACGCTAGCAATGCAATCAAAGTTGATAGCTTGGTGAGAGAGCAATGCATACACCATTCTCGCTGTGTTCTAGCGGAGAGTTTAGAAACCACAATGGTTATGGTAAGCGCATCCCACTTGTCGACAGGTAACTTCATTACCGTTAACGCTCGTAAGGATTCGTGTACCACATCAACGACGCCCAATAATTCCTTGTACGTATCCTTGCCATTGACTTCATGTTCAAAAATCTAGCAACGTGAATCTCCGCTAATTGCTTAGGGTTGTCATACCGACCTTTCAGCGCCTTCCACACTTCCACGTACCCACCTGAATACAGCTTGGCGTATTTTCCCCAGCTTGTAAGCCACCGGCAAATCCCGATTATGTACCAACGTCTCAAACGAATCCTTGAATGCAAGCCAAGCCGTCAAATGATGGTATACAAAGTGGCTCTAATTTTAATTCCATCGGCGAAGCCTTGTTGGTTGACGACTGAGAGTCACACTCAAATCCTTCTTCGGTGGAGTCCAACCTCACTGTATGGATCTCTAATTCATCCTCCTTGGCTGCGGCAACCAAAGTCTCATGATTGTTGAGCATCCGATCAAAATGCACTGCAGCAGATTTTAAGCGTTGATCAATTTGGGTGACGTTGAGCTCACCAGGCTTGCCTTATTTCATTTTCCAAGATCGAAGAAAATATCCACAATTATCTGCGAAATCAGGCCCGATCCAAACCAGAGTACTTGTGCGTCGGAAAGTGCTAATTAAGCTGAAGTTATATTGCGTTTATTAAAAGTTCCTCACAGGATGCACCAAAATGTTTAATAAAAAACGTCAGCTCAGCTTAATCGCACATCCAATTTATTAAAGAAGAAGGAAATCAGAAAAATTAAAGATCAATTTACTCCGAATAGAAGTAATAGAGAAAAGCAAAAGTTAATTACAGGGTGATTCACATGGCCCAGTTTTAGTTAAAGTAGAATCTTAGACAATGTGTGTTTAACAAAACTTGTTTAAATTTCTCTGAAATTCGAGTAACATGGACACAAGTGCTCGGTCTTGTTTCTTAGATGTTATTTAAATTGTTGCTTAAAAATATTTTTTAGCATATCTAACTATGTACATTTTATTAACTTTTTTAATAAGTTTTGCACATATTTTGCATAAATTTTGCATATTCAATTTGCATAAAAATCCGAGCTCTAATAATAACATTGCCAGCTAAGAAAATCCATTGAAAATCAGGTTCCTAATTTTAGTGCTATCCATAAAATATTAGCTAGATATTTGAAATTGTATCTATTTAATCCGGCAATCACTTTAACAATGTCCAGGGTTTTTTCACCAAGGAAATGAGTCCGAGTAAAGAGATTTGTGCTTTCTGGCACTTCCATATTGCACACTGGGCAGACTGAAGAGCACACATTCGTATATAAGCTTTTGCATTGAATTCAGAAGACCCCCGTAGCGCGGAAAGTTAAGCTAAAATATGTTTTGTGTAAAGTAGGATCAGATGTTGGTACAAAACATTCTTTGTTGCCTTTTGTACTAATTCAATAAAAGTTTTTGTCCTTCCTTTGGCTAGGCTTTCTAAAAGCGAGGATGTGAAAGCTTGCAGGTTGTTAAGCGAAAAATCGGAAATAAAGAGCCAACTAACACTGCCTGATAAATTTTTCCAGCTGTTTATCGAATAGGCCCCCTTCTGAAGACACCCTTAAGCAAGAATGCGCGGTAACCTATATCAGGGTAAGCTGAGGCACCGGATAACAAAAAGCATATGCGCGCGGAACTCATTGGATATAGGGGATGTAAGTCTGTCTCCAGATGCAGCACATAGTTCGGCGTAATAGTCCGGGAGCCAGCGACAGATTTTTGCGACCAATTTTAGCTTTGCTCATATTCATTTCAATGCAGCGTATAATGCTCCTATAAAGCCTAGTAACGTTCCGCTGCGGCACCACGGGAGGGTTGGGCTACAGCAGCTACCCACGCAAACAAAAAAAAAATTAAAAATTTAATTATTTTAGATTTGCTAGAAATGATATGAGTAATAGTGTATAGTTAAGATCAAGAAAACGATGTTCAGCTGGCTGTATGGGGGTGGGTTGCCCTCGCGAGGCAGGCACCTTGCCGTTGGTGCGGGGGCTTAGCTGAATCGCCAACCGGTCTTCTTCTGGTCTAAGGTAACGCGGATGCGGCAGCCTCCGCGCTACCTTCCCTCCAGATTTAGGCCGCTGGAGAACAGTGACCAAGAACTGCCACCTCCTAATCCAGGGTGTTAAGCGACACCGTGCCTATTGGACGGTTTGCAGCCAGGAGGGAATAAGCCGGCTGTATTAGAACGGCGCCTTTCCGACACCGGGACGCATCGGGGAGTAACGGTGGCCTTACCGCGACAAGGGGCGCTGGCGCGGCGGACTTTGAAGATCGGCTTCAAAACCTTAGACTGCTGAACTCGCCTCGTCGAGCAGGCGGTCGTACGAAAAAGATGATCACAACAACAAACAAAAAACAACTAAAAAACCAGAAAAACAAAACAACAACAGCAACTACAGCTACAAAAACAGCAACAACAACAACATCTACCACAGCCCCCGCGCCACCAGCGGCGGTGGGCATAACGGCATCAGCTGTAACAATAGCAAAAGCCACAGGTACACCAGCAACGCCAAGCAGCAGCACGCTAGAAGGCTCTAAGAGCGCCAAGCGCAAGAGCGGCTTCTTGGACAAGCTGACAGCAGAGGAAGCATCGCTGTTCATTGAGCATGCGAGGGATGACGAACGTCCAGGCACCAGTGCAGAGGCGTCCTGTAGCAAAGCACGGGGCAAAAAAGGTACTTGCGCAAATCAAGATGTGTTAGATTTGCATGATTCATCTGCCGAATTAGATCGGCCGCAACACCGGTCCGGCAGTTCTCTTTACAGACAGACAGGAACAGCGAGATCAGAAAGCAGCCACCGTATCGAGGGCAGTCACCGCTCCAATAGTCGGCATCGCTCAAGCAGTCGGCGCCGTTCTAAGAGTCGTCACCGCTCAAAGAGCCGGGAGCGCTCAAAGAGTCGGCGCCGCTCTGACAGCGGTCACCGGAAGGGGAAAGGTAGACACAGGTCCCCCAGTGGCAACGCCTCCGCCACATCTGACGAGTCTGGATGGCAGAAGCAGAGGAGGAAGAAAAACCGCAGGGCCAAACCTCCTCCGATGCCTCTGCCAGGTCAGCCAGGGGCTCTGGACGACCAACACCGTGAAGGTTTGAGCGGCTCCGGGGTCAAGTGGTACCTCCGGTATCTGGAACAGGGCAAGCCCACAGTTGAGGCCAGAGCCATGGCCTTCGTCAGAATGGAGGTCGAGAATGAGCGTAGCAGCAAAGGCAACAAACCCGCACCTGCCGATAGGTGGAAGAGCGGGCCCAATAAACAGGCACATTTACTCGCGCCTGCTGCAAAGCAGAGAAGCGGCCTACAGCAACAACAGCAGCACAGACCCGCGCCCACCAGATGGCGGAGAAGCGGGGAACCCCCTGGCCATAACAAAGGGGACGCAGTCAAGAAAGGGAGCAACCAAATCACTCCGCCTGAGACACCTAGCACCAAACGGCAGCGGGATCAGCCACCTACTCCGACTTCATGGCCTAAGAGCCTGGCTGGGCCGGCCGGGCAGGGACAGGTGCAGGAGAGCGCCACTCAGCAGCCCAGCTACTCGGAGACCCTCAAAGGCATCCGGGTAGCGGTGCTACCGTGTGAGTACCCTGCTGCTGCCTTGAGCCCAGAGGACCTAACCAGGCTCCAAGATGCCATCATGGAAGAGGTATTCAAAGGTTGGTCGCACCCGTTGTTATTCTGCGGAGTGTACTTAAGGCCGGTATGCATCTCGTTGACTGCAGGGACGAGAAAACAGCAACCTGGCTGGCAGAGAAGGCACCAGCACTCGAGGGCTGGAAGGGACCCGGGATGTGCACGAAGAGAGGGGACGATATCCCTAAGGTGCACAACATCACGGTGTTCCTCCCAAGGAGCGCCGACAAATCTGCCGAGTTTGCGCTGGGGCTGCTAAAAGCGCAGAACGAGGGTATCAACACTTCTGCGTGGAAAGTAGTGTCCAGCACCACTGAGGATAACGGGCTCAGGCTATTCCTAGGCATTTATGAGGAGTCCTGCGTCAGTATAAAGAGGGCTGGCTTCAACCTGAACTATAGGTTCAGCTTCGTCACGGTGAGACCGTGGAGACAAAAGGCGACAGGCAGCAAGGAGTTGGAGACGCAGGGGACTCAAATCGACGCGGTCGACGGTTCCTCTGCTGCCCAGACGGCCGAGTCGACTTCGGGCTTACCGGCGGAGCAGCCACTCCTTGCAGAAACACCAGCTCCTGCAAACACGATCGGGCCTACCGCTACCACCACCTCAGCGGAACACGTGCCCTCAACGCAGGAGCTGCTATCAGGTATGGACTTGAGGCGACTAGAGCTTGATAAGCGGAACGAGGGCGAACTACAGCTCTCCGACCTTGACGAGCTCCACCTATGAATCCCCGACACTTGGCAGTAGCCCAGGTCAACCTGCATCACGCGGTGGCTGCTTCGGCGGTCATCACCAGCAGGTTCGCCACGGATGG